TCAGAGTTTGGGGGGGGGGTGAGTGGTGAGAGGGAGCCTGAGAAAGGACCTCTTATTGCCCAGGCTGGCTCTGAACTCATTGTATTGTTCAGGCTAGTGTTAAATTCTTAGGGCCTGTTTTGTGTGTGTGTTGGGGGGGGAGGGGAACTCTACTATCCGCACATACATGAATTGTAGGCTTTAGGGTACAATGAGTTCTAGAGCTCTGGAGAACTGGTCATTGGGGTCTTGAAAGTGTGAGGGAGTTAGTTCAACACCATCCAGAAAAGACCATCAGATTCAATTCATATTATAATTAGCTAATTGTATTGAAACTGCTAGCAGGGCTGCAGTCTCTAACCCACATTATTTCTAACCCACCCGCCCAGAAGGGGGTGAAGGAAGGGCTTTTAAAAGTGAAAATATAGCCTTTATTTCTGAGGAATTTACAGCTACAGGAGGAAATACCTTACTCCCCTTGCACACAGTAACAAGTGAATTTACAGAAGCCAGAGCAAGCAGTTAATCATTTCACAACAGTTACACAATTCTGGGGAGGAGGCAACTAGTCAGGGTTGCTGGGAACTTACCTTTCAGAAATTTAGGTCAGAGGCAAATGGCCACTAACATGGGTGCCTAACCGAAATAGAGCTTTCCTTAGCCATCACCATCACAACAGCACTGCCAACTACTAAGGCACAGTCCACTAAGTGATGACCTAGTTGAACTTTGGATGAGATGCACACACACCAGGACTCCAGTTCTAAATTCAGAAAAAGAAATGCTGACCACACAGACAGAAAACACTTGCTAATCACTGTAGCTACAGCCAAAAGTCTGGGCAAATGTATTTTACTCAAAATGAAAAGAGAAGAGATACACGAGAGCCTGTAACATTATCATAAGGCGTAAGACGCACAAATTCAAAGAAACACATAAGAATAAACAACAGGTTCTAACAGTAAAGTGCCTGTCCTGTAAACATGAGGACCCGACTTCAGATTCCCTAGTGTCCACATGAAGCCATACAGACATCCATAACCCAGCACTTGGTGAGCAGAGATGTAGATCTCTGCACTCCAGGCAACCACTGAGCACCAGGTTCAGTGAGAAAACCTGTCTCACTTAGGATAAGCAGGAGAGACATCCAACATCAACCTTGGCCTCCTCATGCACTGGCACCTACATGTATGGATGCAGCATCTCCATGAACGCATACATACTTCATAAACACCAAAAATAAAGGCTAAACCAGTAAAAATCTAGAGACATACACATATACTTTGACAGACTTAAAAATCTAAAGGAGACAGGTGACTTCTGAGAAGAATGTAAATTACCAAGCAACTTACTTAAAAAATCATCTTGACCTAAACCTATTGTATAAAAAATGGCAGAACCTTGGGACAATGGTGATGATCCCAGCACTCTGGAGGCAGAGGCAGTTTACAGAGCTAGTCCTGGGACAGCCAGGACTATACTAAGAAATTTTGTCTTAAAAAAAAAAATTCTAATAGGCAAACACCAATAATAAACATGAATGAAAAAAGTTTAGACCATCTATTAGCAAATCAACTCCCAAATACCCTGGAATAATACATAAAGCAAGTAAGTAAAGTTTATTCCAAGAATATAAGGATGATTCATAATTTTCAAATTACAATCATGTATTCTACATTACATTTCCACAGGAAAAGCAATACATATAATTATTTATCACAATAGATTTCTTTGGTTTTTTGTTTTTGTTTTTGTTTTTTGTTTTTTTGTTTTTTGTTTTTTTTGTTTTTTTTTTGAGACAGGGTCTTGCTATATAGCCCACACTTGCCTTGAGTCCAGTCCTCCTGCCTGTACCTCCCAAGTACTAGGATTAGAGATATATTTACCTAGGTCAATCCTAGGTCAAGAGAAAAGAGGAGCAGTCTAGAAAGTTAGCAAATACAATGAAGCTTTCTTACAAGATGCCTCCAAAAAGCTTATGGAAAGCATCCCATTTCGTTAAACATTAGCAGCATCCTCACTAAAAGCAAGAATGGGGCAAAATTCCTATCAGCACGACTTTTGGTCACTCTGTACCAGAAGTGATGCTTCTCATAGAGAAGCTAGGAAGAGAAATGTGGATTCTTGGCTACAAGCAATATGGCAAGCTTACACCAAAAAGAATTTACTGGAAGAATTTCAGTAACTCCCAAAAGAAATACAAGGCTGAAGAAAACAAGTAACTACAAGGGACCCCCAAAAGGGCCATGCAGAAGAATGGTCTCCATTCAGTTAGCCGCTCTGCCGAGATCACTGAGTTCCAAGTGCCCCTTTGCAGTAATTCACCACTGAGATTCAAAGGCTTGCAAAGTAATAATCCATCTACCACCAAAAGGTTGCAGAGAGATTAGGAAGTGGGGGGGGGGGGTTGAGGCGCACTGGAGCACATTCATGGAAATCAGAGGACAACACCGGTGTCCTACTCTATCACTTTCCATCTTGTTCCTTCTGGACAGTGTCTCTCACTGTACCCTATGCTAAGCTAGCTCTCACTCACAAAGCTCCAACCATTTGCCTGCTTCTCCCAACCCCCACAGAGCTCAGTTTACAAGCTTACAGCTTTGCACACAGAGACTGGGGGGGTCCATCCCAAGTCCTCGGGCGTGTGCAGCAAGCTTTCTTACCCACTAAGCCATTTCTCCAGCACCACAGGCTTCCTTTGTAACCACACGCCATAATAAGGGGCTGGAGATATGGTTCAATGGTTAAGAGCACTTATAGAGGACTCGATTTGGTTTCCAGCACCCTCAATGGGTGGCTCAGATACATCTGTAAGATAAGTCCAGCTCCAGGGGACTCTGACCCAGTGATTTCTGTAGGCACCTGTACTCATATGCACATACATACACATGCACACAATTAAAAATAATAAAAATAATGGCCAGGGGGTGGTGGCATACAGCTTTAATCACAGCACTCAGGAGGCAGAGGCAGGAGGATCTCTGTGAGTTTGAGGCCAGCCTGGTCTACAGTTCCAGAACAGCTAGAGCTGTTACACGGAGAAACCCCATCTCAAAAAAACAAAAATAAATAAATATATTTAAGAGAACATAAATCAGTATTTCTATAGTCCTCAGCATGGGACCAACCTTCCTGAAGCAATATACAAATCCTAAAAATCATAAAGAAAGATCTGTCTATGAAAAAATACATAGACATAACCATGAAATTTTTAAAACTTCTGCACTAAAAGCTAAAATTTCACAAGAGCAAAAAACAAAATGAAAAGCTTTAGCACTTACAATAGAATGTCCATGATTATTGCGGTAAATAAGGACTACCTCACTACACATGATGCATGAAGAGAATCAATAAAGAAAACAACAATCTACATCCCCATAGTACAAGCAAAAGATATTAGGCATTTACAGGAATTAAATACAAATGACCAATAAACCGAGGAAACACACACATTAGTAACCATGGAAAATGCAGATGAAAACTGTTTGCTGACTATGAAACTAACAAGATGCTGAGGACTGAAAATAACCACTACTGCTGAAGTTAATGGGCACACTAAGACACCCCTCCTTTCGTAGGCATTTTCCTTTGAATAATATCATTTACTAGTATTGGGGGGAAAACATGTTTCCCTCCATGTCTATTAGCATTCAATTTTCCAGGTAGTTCTCCAAAATGTAAAGAGGGCATACATGGGCTGCCAGGGTTTGGAGAAAGAGACAACTACAAAGGGGCAAAGGGAGTAGATGAGAATCATGACCATGGTTCCATGACTTTTTATCAATCAATCAATAAATAAATAAAAGTAACTTTGAGACTAAAAAAAATAGTGAATATGCTTATTTAAATAATATCCTTAAAAGTGACTTCAAAAGTTGCCTAAGGCTACACCCACTGGGAGAACATTTCCCTAATATCATCTCCAGTAACAACAAAAGGCCTAGAGTTTTTGTTTACATTTAGCATTAGAAATGTCAACCGTTTTTAAAGTTTTTACATACCAATTCTAAAATAATGCATTAAATGTTAATGTGTTCTTTACTAAAATAACTATTTACCAAAGCAAAAACTATTTCGTGAGAAAAGGCACATTGCTGTGTTATTTAGGCAATCTCCTAAATCTCCTAAACATCTAGCTTCAGACAGGAACAGCTAGCTGAGCTCCTCACTTGTTTCAATCTCTTACAACACTGGAAGTCACAGGACCTGGGAAACTTAACTGTACACTCACAAAAGCAATGAAAATATGAATAAACTCTGAATATCATTATGAAAATGATGAACTTTTACACCATTTGACAGGGAAACCCGTGAAAAGTGAACCACACTTTGAGAACATCTGATTAGTCAATACTAGATAATAATCAGATTTCGGATATGTATAGTAACAAAAACGTAGTTCTTTTTTAATCGGAGAAACAGTATCCCATGCTGATGCTCTGTTCTTCAAACAATGACTTGGACTTAGAAACTCTCAAAGATTTAGAAAATCAGCAATCCCTAAGAGGTAAGACAGTTATCCTTAAGCCTTCCCAATTCACCTGCTGGATGAGGAAAGGCTGCAGATAGTAGGGCGGCAGTCAAATAAATGCCTTACCTCAAAGACAGTCAGAAAAATATAATGGAAAAGTGGGGTGACTTTAAAAGCCGTGAGAGACAGGAAATCAAACACTGCTCATTGGTCACATGGTTCATGAAACTCAAGGTTGTGAAAACCCCACACGGTTCAGATGCTGAACTATGCCAAATGACTGTTACCTGCACGTAGCACGTCTCCAGTGACTGAGAAAACGCAAAACCACCCACTCCAAAGGTTTAACGCGTTAGCAAGGTGCTAGGTCCCAGCTGAGACGTTCTGTTGAGGGGTCTGCATCATTTCCCAAAGGCTAGGTCAGAGTCGGGGGCGGGGGGCGGGGGGTCTGTACTGAGAGGTGGGCCGCCCGGGATTCAGGCATCCCTGTCCTCGGCCATCCCGCCAGTGACTACGCGGAACCCAGAGCGCGTCAGGCCCCTTCACTCACCTGGCCGCTGCTTCAGCGCCATCACCGACACCAGGTAGTGGGCGATGTCAAAAAAGGGGAACATGGACGTGCGGGAGAAGGTCAGGGTCATCTCATCCCACATGACGACGACAGACCCCGCGAGCCCGAGCAGCCGCGGCTGCCGGTTCCCCTCCCGCGGCGGGGTTGGGGGAGGGGCTGGCCGCGCCAGCTCCAGCCCTGCGCGTGCGCCCTGGAGCCCAGGAGGTCGGCCAAGGGGCGGGGTCCTTAACGGGGGCGTGGCCGGAGCCGGAACGAGAGGCGGGGCCAGCTATTACTGGCCTTGGGTGAGGCTTGGCCCTGGCTCTCCTAGTAAAGGTATGGCATCTCCCCCGTGATGGTCGATGCCAACTGACCTAAGGGGCGACTCTCAGAGTCAGATTTCTTTATGTAAACGGATGCCATCCCCCTTTTATTAAACAACCACGATGTAGCTCACTTTGTTACCTACTGAAAATATGAAAAATAAAACAGTAATGCTTTATTCATAGCCTCATGAAACGCGTTTTCCCAGGGGAATTTTTTTTTAAAGGAAGCACAGAATTTCACAAACCATAAAAGTATGGGTGCCCGCCAGACAGTAGTGGTGCACGCCTTTAATCCCAGCACTTGGGAGGCAGAAGCAGAGGGATTTCTGCGAGTTCAAGGCCAGCCTGGTCTACAAGAGCAAGCGAATTCCTGGACAGGCTCCAAAGCTACAGAGAAAACCTGTCTCAGAAAAACCAACAAAAAGTATGGGTGCCATGCCAAGGCAATTGGTTAGGAAAATGAATAATATATTAAGAGCTGGTCTGCAAATACTAAGAGATATTTTTGTTAGAAGGAGAATGAAGTTAGGAAAAAAGTTTTAAAAAGAAGAGTCTTTCACAATAAAACCATGACGGTGTAAGCTGTTGATCATTCGCTACATTGTATTCAATCTTGTTTACCAAAAACCCTACCATTGTGCTAAATTGGGTCATTCTGGTGAAGAAGATGGGCGGGGCGCTGAAGTTGCAATCCAGCATCTAAAATTTATGGGAGGAGTCGAGGGAAATCAGAGTGTACTCACTGATCCAAGACAAAAGGTAGTTAATGTGGATCTTAAGGGCGGAGATCCAAGTAGGAAAAGACTGCCCTAGACGATGCAAACTCCACTTGCAAAGGCAACAAAAACAGCCAGGTTTACAAAAACAAGGAAAGGGGCAATCTGGGAAAACTGGTTGCAAAAAGAACTTCAAATAAAGGAAAATTAGTCTGGGTAGGAAAAAAGTGTGAGTTTGGTGTGTCTTTATCTGACATGTCAACAGATTGTGTAGTTACCTGGAATACATGACCACAGGAGCTACAGAAGAAACAGGTAGAGGTGACTGCTCTAAGTATTGCTGCAAAGAGCAATTCACTGTTTTTCCCCTGAATTTAACCTTTGATATTAACTCATTTAGCAAATGTTATCTACATACACGCTTTGTACCAAGCACTGTGTACCAGAAGCACTGTCATAAAAACTAGGTGCATAAATTCTAAGAAAATGGTAATAACTTTCTGTATTTGGTAACCTGTCAAGGAACAATGGCCTTATTAAAAGTTTTCTATTTGCTTTTCTAAGCAAACACCTTCTATACAGAAACATTTATTTTAACCTCTGGCACACTTTGTTATAAAAATAATAAGATAAGGAACACTCAAGCTTTTATCAGTTCTTTTCACATGTTTTAGAGGTTCCCTGATATTTATTTCACCATACAAGTGTAAAAGTAAGCTTGACCACATCCACCCAGCACCTACAGACACTGTTTTTATGATCTAAAAGAAGTGAATTAGTAATGTCACACACACACAAAAGTTCTATCCAGATTTTGTATGTGTCTATTGTATTTGTTTCTGGTCACCACATAGATTATTTAGTCAAATGAAGTGCCACATAGTTGAGGGGAAAAAAAGGGGGGGGGAAGATGAAGAATAAGGTAAAAGTAAGGCAAGATTTAGGAAAGATTGTCTGGGAGCATCCAGACCTTTCCTGACTCAAACTCTTCAAAGCATTTTTTTTTCTTTGTAGTTCAGAAACACGTGAAATTAGTATATTCTAAACCAGATTTCTCAACAGCGGCACCACTGGCATTAGAATGGAGCAATTCTTTTTGATTTGGGACCACCCTAGGCATTACAGGATATTTAGTAGTATGCCTGGTACATGCACACATGCACACACACACACACACACACACAACAAACACACACACACACACACACACACCAATTGTGATGATCAAAAATATCTCCAGACATGCACAGTCCAGAACTACACTGGTAAATGCATAGAGGTGTGTTGGAAAATGTGCTTCTGTGAATACAAACATTGTGGTCATGCCATAAAATTAACAAGCAGATTAATTCTAGAACTACTCTCATAACCTATTTTGCTTCAGCTTGCTTCTGTTTCTTCCTGGTTCAGTGTCTCCATACTCAGCATCACAAACTCACAAACAGCATTTCCTTTCCTGCAATACTGCTTTCTAACCACTGAGTGTCATTCCTTTCACTTTGGGGAATCGTGTGTGTGTGTGTGTGTGTGTGTGTGTGTGTGTGTGTGTGTGTGTGTATTTAAGAGCCATGAATAGTACAAGGAAGGCACTGATTGCACTTCTAAACTTTAGCATGCTAGATAGGCATTTTTGTCTATGTTCCTAAAATTTTTACACTTATTTATTATGTGTGTGGAGGCATGTATGTGTAGAAACATATGTACCTCATCATGTATATGGAGGGAGTCAGTGTTACCTTCCACTATATGGGTCCCAAGTATAGAACTCCAGTCCTCAATCTCACCACCTCATCTAAAGTTATTCTAATAGCCACTTAATAACTGCTCTGTATCAATTACATTATAATAAGAAATGATATATAAATGCATGTGCTTTGAATTTAACCTTTTTAATGTTCAGAATTACAAAGGAAAGTTAATTAGAGAATTCTGGTCACACTCAAAATATCTACCACTTCCAATCAGCCCAATGAGGTTTCACTGACTAAGTCTGTCTGAGAATTCACTTAACTCTACTCAGTATGTATTTGATAATATCTCTGGTGTTATATCTGGAAAAATATGACCATGCTCCTCATTTCTTACACTTGAAATGAAAAATGTTCTCTGAGTGTCATTCATACCTTTAGTATAAACTATTATACTAGAACATTCATACTTCTATATAAATTACTAGTCTAAAACTATTCTCCAGCTTACCTAAGTAAAAACCTGATGTCACCAAAGAAAGCAGTGTTCATCAGAGTCGAACTACCAGTCAGTCACCAGTGCAGTAGCTGCCACTCCTCCATGGTTCTCAACCCTTGTAGCAATCTCTCTCTCATCAAGACTAATAGAGATCATTGAGTTTATGAGTTGTTAAAATTGGGACATGGACCGAGAGAGACACTTGAAGGAAATAAGAATATTTTGGGGCCCAAAAGATGGTTCAGTGGGTAAAAGTCCTTGATGAACAAGCCTGATGACGTGAGTTCAGCCCCCAGAACCTATAGTGACAGAAAAGAATCAACTGCCACAAAAAGTTGTCCTCTATAAGGGACCTCTGACAGTGGAACCAGGATGTATCCCTGGTGCACGAGAGGACTTTGGGAGCACATACTTCATGGAGGGATACTCCCTTAGCCTAGAGACAGGAGGGAGGGCCTAGACCCTACTCCAAATGACTTGACAGATTTTGATGATCCCTCCTGGAAGGCATCACCCTCCCTGTGGAATGGATGGGGAATGGGATGGGGAGGGGGTCAGGAGGCATGGGAGGGAGGGAGAGGGAACTGGGATTGATATGTAAAATAAGATAAATAAATAAATAAATAAATAAATAAATAAAAGAATTTGTCCTAACCTCACCATGGCTGCCTTAGCAAGCATGAGCCTGTATGTGCATGTTCCCCACATACAACAAAAACAATAATAATAACAATAATGTGGTAGTTTGAATGAAAATGGCCTTTTATAGGCTCATAGAGAGTGACACCTAGGAGGTGTGGCCTTGTTGGAGGAAATGTGTCACTGGGAGTGGGCTTTGAGGTTTCAGATGCACAAGCCAAGCCCAATGTTACTCTCTCTTCCTGCTGCCTGCTGATCCAGATGTAGATCTTTCAGCTACCTCTCCAGTACCATGTCTGCCTGTGCACCACCATGCTTCCAAATGTGACAATAATAGACTAAACCTCTGAACTATAAGCAAACCCAATGAAATGTTTTCCTTTATAAGAGTTGCTGTGGTCATGGTGTCTCTTCACAGCAATACAACCTTGTCTGAGACAACTGATGATGATGATGATATGTAACACAAAAAATAAATGACCCAGAGACTGATACTTGGGTTCAAACATCAAGCTGAAGGTCAGAAAACCAAAGTAGCAGGCGACTACCTCGGGTCACTAGCTCTTGCCACTACCTCTCCTCAGCTGCCTCTCCTGAGACTGAATGTCTTCCTATCCTCCTTGACCCTGATCCTTCCTATCTTCAGTGTAGCTGGAGGAAAGGAAAAAGACTTCTGTGGTAGTTTGGATGTATTTGACCCCCATAATATCATAGAGTGGCACTATTAGTAGGTGTGGCTTTGTTGGAGTGGGTGTGGACTTGTTGGAGGAAATGTGTCACAGTAGGGGCAGCCTTTGAGGTTTCTTATGCTCAGGATACCCCACAGTGTCTCAGTTGACTTCCTGTTGCCTGCAAGATGTAGCAGTCTCAGCTCCAGCACCACCTCTGCCTTCCTGCTGCCATGCTCCTGTCATGATGATAATAGACGGAACCTCTAAAACTATAAGCGAGCCCCTCAATTAAATATTTTCATTGTAAGAGTTGCTGCCATCATGGACTCTTTTCACAGCAATAACTAACTAAGACAACTTCCCAGCTGGTAAGTATTGTTATAGGTTTGGTTTGTCTTTTTCTTTGAGTCTTGTTTTTGGTTGTTGATAGCTTTCTTAGGTGGGTGCAGTGCTAACTCATTCACAGAGTGTATTTGTGTGTTTGCTGTTGATGGCATAGACCTCCATGTACCAAGGTTTCTTGTTGTCTACAGTCATAACAGATACCACACATGATCCAATATGTGTATCCTCTGTGTATTAGATTAAAAATTAAATGTGGCTTGCCCAGCCTCTCAGTAAGGGATATATTTATTAAAATATTGGCAAGTTAAATGGAACGGGAATTCTGTTTTCAGCTTCTGAAACTAAGTGAAGAAGAATAAAG